TCTCGCTCCCCTCCGCGTGCTGCGCCCGGTCTCGCGCCCCCCCTGTGGCCCTCGCGTTTTCCTCCGCTCCGGCGCCGCCGCCGCCGCCCCGGGAAGGTATCGGGGAGACGGCGGGGGGTGGCCGGGAAGAGGTGGTTGCGCGGTCGAGTACTGCGAGTCAGTGGGTTGCGGCGGCTGGGGGAAGGGAAGGCAGGTATGGTCTGGGCCTGAGGGGAGCCTCGTCTCGTCTCAGCGGCGCTGCGCGCGAGCAGACCCCTTCCCGCCGCTGGGGCGGGTGGCCGCAGGTGTGTGGTGAAGGGTGGCTGCGGGGCCCCTTGCGCCCGCCCGCCCCTGCCTAACCCGCCTTCCATGGGCGCTGTTGTCGCTTCTGCAGATGAAAGAAACGATCATGAACCAAGAGAAGCTCGCCAAGCTGCAGGCCCAAGTGCGCATCGGTGGCAAGGTAGGAGCCGCCTCCCCACCCTGCCCTCGGGGCTGCATGTCCCTACACGCACACAAGGCCTAGCATGGGGTGTCCTGGAAACCGGGGTACTCGGCTTGGCTTGTCTGTTCTCAGCAGGCTTGCAGCCTGTGTTCTTGTGTGGGCTGTTCCAGAAGTCACGCGGTATTTGAAGTGAGTAGAACTTACAGCAAGTGAGCTTGAGTATAGCTTTCATGCCAGATTATAGACGGTTATGTTCCAGACTCTTTGTCAGTAATCTTTAAGATGCCCGTGGCTGTTTTTTTGCCTTTTCAGACAAAGTTGGAAATAGTGTACTTGACATGCTCTTGTAATTGTAAACTAACATGCTCAGATGACCTTTTTATTTTCTTACGCCATCTGAATATATGTAGCTGTGTGATTACATATCTGAAAATAAGAAAGTGTGTTTAATATAGTTGTATGGTAGTAAACATGTTAATTACGGTGTCGGGTTTTAAGGCAAGAATTTGTTAGTAATTTTTTTATGCCTAAGGAAGTGTCCATGCAATATTTTATAATACAAACTATTTAAGAGCACTCTTGCTGAAAGAGTTTCCAGGAACTTTAATTCCTACGTTAATTTTTTTTTTTTTTTTTCTTTAGCTGGTTATTTAGGCAGACTTAAATCAGAGTTAATGTAGTAATTAACTGGCTTGGTGATTTTTGTGTCTTCCATGGATGTCTTACTGGTTAAGCAGAGAACTACTGTATTATATTGATGACTGTATGCATGTTGTTAGTGTGTGTTTATTTACTATAGAGGCTTTTAATGTTTGTCATGTAAGAGCATGCATTCAGACTACAGCTCTTACAGCTCTCTGGTCAATATAGGTCTTTTGGAGCCAGCCATTAAGCAGAACTTACAATATGCTGCTGGTGCTGTTGTTCAGGTTTAAAATTGGCCCGTGAAATACTTTGAATGCCTGAACTTGACTTAGAATTTGTTTTGTAACTGGAAATTATTACTGGGATGCTTCATGGCTTTGTCACCATAAAAATTGTGGAAGAGGCAAAGGAGGAGTCGTGTCAGTTCTCCTTGTGGGAAAAGTTTGCACACTGCCTCTGTTGGAATATTTTCATGATGTTGCAAGGCTGTACATACTACAAATAAGCTACATATGTTTAGGTGGAGAGCTGTTATAGTACTTTGTTATGTGAAATTTGAGATTTTTGTGTAGAATCTAGCTACAGCTAAATGTTATGGCTCTTCTTCCAAACCTTTTTAGAGGAGTGGCAGTTGAGTCAGTAGTATTCCACTGGTGGCCTGCTGTACCTGCTCCTCTTTATATAGAGATAGAGGGGTGTGAACAGCATGTCTCAACATGATCAGGATAGAATCAGCATAGTAAAAACCTGTAGTCTTTAGGAGGTTAAATCTGTGGAGATGAAAGCAGCAACTGTTCATTTAAATTTAACTCAGGTTGTCTGAAGTTTGGTATGTTTAATAGGGGTAAAAAGGAGGTACCTACCTAGCCTTTGATTCAGGATACCATTTTCTGAAATTCATTGAGAGGTCTTTTGTCCAGAGAGACTTAACATGTATCTTATGTGGCTCAATTCCAGCGTTGTAAAGGTACTAAAATGAAGCTATTTCTATTATTTTAGTAGTTTTCAAATTGTATGTGCTAACCTGACAGTAGCAGGGAATGAATATCAAGCTTTCTAGACAGATTACTAAATTTTTGAACTATAGTCTTGCAAGTGTTAGTTTCATGGCTTTAAAATTCCTCATTGTAACTGAATTGTGTGAGAGGAATTAGTGCCCAGCCAGTTTTCTAACTTCTACTAGTTAACCCAGAAGGTATTGTAGCTATTTATATGTCTGGGCAGCAGCACATTCTCTGTTGTTAGCATGTGGCACATAGATACTTGTAGTAGGAGGGATTAGATTAATAGTTAGAGTGTGTCAAAAAGTTTCACATTTCCCTGGACATTTATGTTAGATTTTACTGAAGCCTTGTGATTGTGCAAGGAAGTACAGCATGACACACTCTGCTTTTTTTAAGGTATAGGTATCTTCTAATATAGGACAGTTATTTCCCTGGAGAAATACAGAACTCTGTGTCTGTAGGGGAAGTTAACCTTTCTTTATTTTCCTTTCTAAACTGGCATGGTCTGACATACTGTTTAGAAGTATCTTTTAAAAACATTTATAAAATATTTTTTGAAAATAAGTGTTCTTCAAATATGTAAATCCATAAGGTGGGAGATGTCTGTTTGGAATAAAAATTTAATATTTTGAGTTTTCTTATATTTGTTAATGATATTTGGGTATTTTGAGTTTTCTTATATTCGTTAATGATATGTTTAACTTTATGGCCTCCATTATCAAAATTTGTCTACAATTTAAGAAAGATGATCTGAGGAAAAACTCATTAGTTTCAGAAATTACATAAAACTGTGCTCATTCTTCAGCTGTATGCCTACAATAACAGACAAGGGTAAACTTGGAGTTGTTCTTTACTAAGATGCTGCAGAATCTTTACAAGAATTGTTTAATAAACATTCTTTGGTGCACTGCTTCTAGACTGTGCTTTTGCCAAGAAGGGTTGGACCATATGACCCCTGAGGTCCCTTCCAGCCTGGTATTCTATGATTCTAAAGCCTCACGCTTCTCACAGACATGCAAAGCTTGCCTTATAGCAAGGGAAAGACTGCTGCAGTGCAGCTGGAGGGGTGGGATTGTGTGCACTGTAATACAGAAGTAGAACTTTGTATGATAAATTGATTTCTAGATGGCTGCAGAGTAGTTGCATGGCCTTGAGGATTAGAGTTTGTGAAGAACTACTTAAGTACTAATTTGTAACTTTTTTTTTGCTAAAGGGTACTGCCCGCAGAAAGAAGAAGGTTGTCCACAGAACAGCTACAGCAGATGATAAGAAACTTCAGTTTTCGTTGAAGAAGCTGGGAGTCAACAATATTTCTGGAATTGAAGAGGTAATTGCTTCAAAGGAAAAGTACTTTTCTGTATAGAAATAGAAAATCTATCAAAATAAATTTCCTGGTAAGTAATGTCCTAAACTTGTCTGTAAATTATCTGTAGGTCTTTATTGAACTTTAAGAACTTTAATTCCCTGTTAAATTGAAAAAGCTTGCTAAGGTGCTTTAAATACTGGATTTTTTTCTTGCAGGTAAACATGTTTACCAACCAAGGAACAGTCATTCACTTCAATAACCCTAAAGTTCAGGCATCTCTGGCTGCTAACACTTTCACTATCACTGGCCATGCTGAGACAAAGCAGCTGACAGAAATGCTTCCTAGCATCTTAAACCAGCTGGGAGCTGACAGTCTGACCAGCCTGAGGAGATTGGCAGAAGCCCTACCCAAGCAATGTAAGTTGAAACTTGAATGCATTTCATGCTGGCAGCTGACATGAGGCTTATTTGTATAGCAGCAGTGAAATTCAGTGCACTCTTGCTGTCTGCAAGCATACTATAGAATGCTTATAAAGAAATGGAACTCTTAGATCTTATTTACAGCTCAAATCCAATGTCAGGTATAACTGGGTAAAGCAGAGGCACCTGTTAACATATCTTGCGGCTGGTCTAGGACTGGCAAGTTGTAGACAGGCTTGATTTTGTGGTAGTTTACTTGATGTGGCTACCATATTTTGACATACATCATTCATTAAAGCTAGGTAAATGAGTTACTCTGAAAGAGTTAGGTTTTAAAAAACGATAAACTTTGAGTATGTCTGTTTTGACAATTCGAATGGAGACATAAGTAATAGGAAAAGGGACTTAAGGACAGATCTCTTGCAGTTTTTTTGCTGCCTCACAGGTGTGGTGAAGGCATTTCTTGCATGGGCTTTTCTGATAGATAGGAGGGACTCACACAGTATTTGTAAGAAAGTATGTTATACTTTCTGTGTTTGTAGAACAGTAGAGAACAGGACTGACATGAGCATTAAGCTGGATACACCAACTTCTTATTCTATGCTTAATTTGGTAAAAAACCATGAACACCTATTCTTCCTCAAACTGTGGGAAAAGTAGAGGAGGAACTTATGTTGTGTTTGGAAAAGGTGCTGACAGGCTTGTTGGCACTGGGAACATTCCTCTGTCCTGCATATACTTAAGCCCATTCCTGCCACGTTATGGGACACCCTAAACATGGATAAAATGGAAGAAGTTACCATTGTGTCCAGTTCCTGGTAGCTGTAAACTTGATTTGTTCCTTTTTTCTTCCTGTGCTTTGCTGCCAACAAGACAGCCTCTATTTCAAGTCCTGAAGTTGATACTTCCCTCCTGTCAACTTCCTACTGAAAAAGTTCTGGTAGAAGTAGCTTTCAGGAGGTGGGGTAAACTGTTTCTTTCCCCGTGGAGCTCAGGTCCTTCTTTCCTTATGTCACCTGTGTGGCTTCCTTGTGGCGGTAGTAGGGCTTGAAAGATAAAAAGCCTTGAAGAATTTAAAATTTATCTCCAAAGATCTCTCTTATAACAAGGTGGGTATATTCTGGATAAGCTAAATTGTGCCATTTTAATATTAGGGAAGTTTGTTTAAAAGTGCTTGCTTTGTATGACCTAACAAATGGCTGTTCCTTTCCACTTAGCATGCCAGAGCAGTTGCACAAAACTTTCCATTCAGCATTGTTTGCTAGATTTGGAAGCCTGACTTTGAAGAATGAAGTGTCTATGAAGATTGTGTTTGCAGGTGCTAAAGTAAACTTAGTCTGGTTTTAGGACTGAGAGAGGATGCAGACAATTTAGGAGGAAATAAAACAGTTTGCTTTTAAAATGTCCTATTTGACACTAAGATGCGCGCTTAAGCTGTAACAGCTTTCTGCTATTAGAAAACAAAAGGAAGATTATCAGTACCTTGCCCTAAGGTCCTTCAGACCAAAGTTTATTCACTCACTGTTTTGGTTCTCTGGAAATCAGGGTACAGGTCTAGTATGAACCTCTTTCTTTCCTCATGCTTTCCTTGAAAACTGAGAAGGATTAATTAGGATAAAACTGAGGTGATAGAGAGTAAGACACAGCTTACCCTTGGTAGTACAGCTAAGAATAGCAGTAAAAGTAGTGGCACAGGCACCAAGGGACCTGAGGTACCTATTCTTAGCATTATACTGCTGTAGTTCAACAGATGTCCACTGTAGCAGAACAATGAGCATGGTTAAGTCTCATTAGCTCTGGCAAATACAGTGAGAATGGTTAAGCAGTTAGTGAATCAGCAGAAATGTGGACCAGAACATGTGGTTACCTCAACCACCGCAGTGTAAAGTTGTGCATACAGTTCCATATTTCTCTGACTTTGCCAGGTAACAGTAGTATATTTAAGTACCTCTTAACCTGCTAGGCTGTTTGAACATTATCAGTAACAAAGGGAATGTGAACTTCCTAGGTTAGTTGAAGATTTTTATTCAATGGGGAAATTGGATAAAACATTGTAGTTTAACTCAGAATTTTTGATGTTTTCAGAAAACACAAAGCAAAAAACAACTAGTCAAGATGCCTATGGTGAGCTTGGCTGTTTGTCCTGGTTTTGGCTGGGATAGAGTTAATTTTCTTCCTAGGAGCTGGTACAGTGCTGTATTTTGGATTTAGTGTGAGAATAATGTTGGTAATGCACTGATCATTTAGGTGTTGCTAAGTAGTGCTTACCTTAATTTAAGGATTTTTTCAGTTTCCCGTGCTCTGCCAGCGAGGAGGTGCACAGGAAGCTGTGAGGGAGTGTGGCCAGGACAGGTGACCCGAACTATCCAGAGGGATATTCCATACCATAGGATGTCACGCTCAGTACATAAACTGGGGCGAGTTGGCTGGGGGGGAATTGCTGCTGCAGCATCAGTCAGTGGGTGGTGAGCAACTGCATTGTGTATCACTTACCTTTTCCTGGGTTTTATTTCTCTCTCTTTTGTTATATTCCTTTAATTAGAATAATATTATTATTTTATTTTAGTTATCAAACTGTTTTTATCTCAACCCATGAGTTTTGTTTTGGTTTTCTTCTCTGTTTCTTTTCCCCAACACACTGGGAGTGTGGGAGGAGTGAGTGAGCAGCTTGCATGGTGCTTAGCTGCTGGCTGGGGTTAAACCATGACACTGATGCTTTTGAACTACTTGCTTTTGCAGCTGTGGATGGAAAAGCACCACTTGCTACTGGTGAAGATGATGATGATGAAGTTCCAGGTAATAATGAGTATGCAGTGAAGGAAAAGGAAGTGAATTTTGCCAAAAGCATCTGTAGCATAAGATTGGGCCAGGGATGGTAATGGTGTTTGCTGCCACAGAATTTCTGTGGGCAGATTATTTGTTTTCAGACACCATGAGAAACTTCCTGGTTTGAGCTAGCATTTTTGTCCTTTGTAGAAGTAATAACTGTGGCTAAGATAATTATTTAATACTCAATAAAAAAGGTGGGAAGAAACTACCTTCTTAGTGTCACTTTGCTCAGTTGTGGGTATAGTGAAGTTAAATGCTCTTAGAACTGTGCTTTATAATGAACTATCTGAAACTTAATTGAGCCAGAAGAATGAACCATAATCCCTTAAAAGTTATTTGGTCTGTATTTTATAAGCTGAAAGTTTCTAATGTTGTAAGCATTTGATTTGAAGTAGAACTTTGGGGAAAAAAAAATCCCAAACCAGAACGTTTGGCAAAGTGGAAGTGGGTCACACTTCTTAATTTCAACTTTCTTCTTTTTCTAGATCTTGTTGAAAACTTCGATGAAGCTTCAAAGAATGAGGCAAACTGAAATAAGTGTCACTTTCTGAATAAAGTTAAAACTTGAGAAAGCTACACGGAGCTGCTATTTTGTATTGTGACTGCTTTGATTTTATTTCCTGATGAGATCTCAAGATCTGTGGTATTTGGAAACTCCTTGAACCTGCAGCTCTTTAGTTACTGCTTGTACACAATTTTATTTTTGTGGCCTGATTGAACGAACCTATGCTTTGAAATAAGTCATATTGCTAACAAATCTCTGCCTAGGCATAATTTTTGAGTAACTTGTATACAAGCAAAACCCCATCTTTAATGAACTTTGACATACAATAAAAATATAAAAGAAACTTTCTGGTGTGGGTTCTTGTCAGAAAAGCAGGAAGAAAAGGGCCATAAATCATAAAGACTTGCTTTTCTACAAATCATCCTCCTGTTGCTGTGTAAGAAAACTAGCTTCCAAAAAAATTTTCTTTGCATAATGGAGTATTTTGGACTTGATCAGTGAATTCTCAGTGTTTGCAGATCAGAGCTATGTACACTCTTAGGTCAATTTGTAATCTATTGAATTTAAGAAATAGATCTGTATTCTACAAACAATTATTAGTGGTTTAATATAACGTAAAATATACAACTTGAGAGAGAACTTTGGCCTTGAACAGTGGCAAGTTGTTGACATCTTGGGGGAGCTAGATAGTAATGTTAAATTTTTATCTTTAGGGAGTGTTCAATAGATATTTCAGGGTGTAACTGTTTAATGAGTTAAAGAATACTTCCCCAGTATTTTAATTTTACTTATCGCAAAACGTCACTTTTGTGGACGAATGAAGCATAGGAAGGGGAAAAAGCCATAATAAAATTGATAATGGCTCTTAGTTCAGTATGTATTTAACATCTTCAGATATTTTTATCTAATAATTATATTGGGGCGTTTCAAGAGTATGTTCTTTCTATTGCTTTTGTGTGTTGCAGAGTAAAAAAACCTTGTTTTCTGGGCACAAGGAAGACTTTTTAAATTCCAGTCTGACCTTTGCATAGCTGTTGCTTCCAGTGGTGAAGGCTAGACTTTGTGTCTGGGAGTCTTTGGTGTTAATGATAGATCAGATTGCTTCCATAACAGAAGCTAAAGTAGGATTGTCTCTAGAAAAAATACTTCTGGAAGTGGAAGTTTATCTTGACTTGTGCAGGATAAAATTCAGAGTGAAACTTTGCTATAGCTGTAACAAAATTCTCCTTGTGCCTGGGAAAAGGTGGGTCTGTGCCTGACTTGCCAAGCATGTTTGTCATGGTGTAAGTCATTGCTGTTAGGAAATGGTGGTTTGAGGTAAGACAGCAGTCTGATGGAAGCATGAGGTGCCTGAAGTCAGGTGCAAGAGCTTACAGTAACAATTTCAGTTTACTTGTCTCAGTTTGCAAGTACTTTTACAATTGAAGTGCATTCACTGAGTTGTGGCAATAAGGTAGAAAAAACCGCCAAACTATGCAAATTTGAGTTTTGAAATGAGGGTGGTGATTTTAAGGTAATTGACATGTAAAAGGTAAAAAACAAATTTTACAGAGTTGTTTACCACACTCGTGTGACTGTTGAGTCAATAAATGCTGATTTTCTTGAGAAATTAAAGTGTTGCCCATTCTGTGATTCAAATGTGTAAGTCCTCAGAAATACTTCCTTTAAGCCACTGTAGCCCTTAGGAAATGTTTCATACTGGTTTCTGTCTCACAAAATGACAGTGTCTTGCTTAGGTGATCTAGACAGTGTTAGCCTTTCCCCCCCCACGTGCTTGGTGCTTCAAAAACAAAGTGCTTGCTGAAACAGTGTTTTTGAAATGCAAAACGATGCTAATCCAGTGATAAGCACCCATGTGACATGTCTGTGGAAGTTTACATCTAGGTAGGCTCTCAGTCAGGAAATACTGGCATATCTTTGTCTCCCCAAACTGACTGAGGATCGAGATATGATCAGAATGTATTACTGATTATAGCAGATGCTAAATGGCAGTAGTTCTCTTGTTGGACACTTAAGTAGTCTTCATGTCTAACACTTAAATACTCAGTCCTGGACTCAACGCTGTGATTATTTTCTCTTAGTAAGGAGTTTGGTTAGGATCATCCTAGTCTGTCACTGCTAGAAACTGAAAATAGTTGTGTTGATGTTTCTCATTAGCTGGAACTTCTATATAACCATGCTGGAACTGCCATTATGGATTCACATCTGTAGTCTTGTTAAGGAAAATGGCTTTGTATCTCCATATCTTGGACAACAGAGAAATTAAAAACCAATGCCTGCATTGCTATTGAAACAAAGGTTTGTTTGAGCTTTCTATTTTTAAAAAGCTAAGGGAATCTTATGGTTCTCTTACATCAAGCTTTCCAATAGCTTGACTCTATGCAGTAGTGGGTAGTAGTGAGAGTTTTTTCATCATTTTTGCAACAGATGTTAGAAACACCTCCATAATTGTTAATCTTAAGTTTCAGGAGTTTTGCTCTGGTTTACAATTAGTATGTTCTAGTAAAACAACCAATCCTTTTGCAAGATGTTGAAAATACATATTTTATTAAGCTAGTGTGGTGCATATATAAAAATCAAAAGCTGTATACTATGGTTTTAAAATAGCATTATTTTTAAAGCTTTAGAAGGCATCTTGTGTTATTACAGGTTGGAATTTTTTTTTTAAGCCTTGTGAGTTTGAGGTTGTCTCTCAAGAACTGTTCCCAGTGAGAATTTCACATAATTATCAGTCATATTTAGGATATGTGACCAAGGGAAATCACTTGAATTGGTTTGAAATTATCACAGCTCAATAATGATGTTGACTTGCTGTGGTGTGGGTTAAGTTCATGTAGTTTGCAGTTCTGTAAAATTTTGTGCTAATAACGTGTTTCGTGGGTGAAACATCATACAGACATTTCACCTTCTCTAAAGTGGTTTCCTGTATCTCTGCTGGAAACTGAAATAGCACATTATGGTGCAGATAGAGTAACAAGGGACATTTGAAATTAAGAGGATAGCTTGTATTTGTTGTCAGAGGCAGGGGAAGTATTAAAACCAAGATGTGATCAAAACAGTGGCTGCAAAAAAAATCACGTGTGTGAATGTTAGAGTGGGAGGTAAGGCCTTAGTATTTTTCAAGGGAGGTGGGGGGAGTGATTGAGAAGCCAAAATATGTAAGCTCGTTGATCATCCTGTTTGTGAGAATGGATTTGAACAAATTACGGAACTAGAGAGTTAATATTCAGCATAGGTAGGAAAGCCTACAGAGAAGTCTGTTGATGGTGATGAGATTACAGCCTTAGGTGTCTGGCAAGATGGTGGTATACATAAAGGAGATTTTGAAGCTAGATATCTTGGAATATTAACAAGTACACAAGATGTCTTGGGTTTACATAAATTCATGCAATGTGCCTCCTGATTTTTCAAAGCTATTCTTTGTTCCTATTCAGAACTATAGTTTCAGCTGCATCCAGCAACTTGTGAGAGTTGCTGAAAATGTTTTCCCTGGATGTGGTAGTTGAAAGATCCCTTCCTGTAACAAAGACTGGACTCTGAGAGGAAGTATTTTTTGCAGAAAAGGAGCTGATGATGCGTCTGAGCCAACCTTACTTGGCACAAGGGAGTATCATGATTAGTTTGACTGTGAGTTGAACTCAACTTTACAGATGGATAAGAAGTGGGTGCATCTAGAAGCTTTGATAATCCTGAGTAGAACTATTTCTGTGTATTCTAATCAACTTTAAGCAGTGTTTTCTTGATAGCATAAGCTACTTGCAGTCTCATGAAAGTCTTTCGTTGTTCTGTTAATATTCTGCCTTCACTTCATGCATGAATAGAAGGAAGACAGTTTACTGTTACTCACTGTCTTGCTGTAATATTTTTTTTTGTGAGAACTAGATTTAACAGATGCGATTTACAGATTGCTTTTACATTGCGGTGAAGGTATCCAGGAAATGAAAAAGCCATTTTAACAACATTTGTTTAGTGCAGGAGTTAATAATAATTTTACAGATGAGTTACAGCCCAACCTTTTGCGTTACTAATGAATCTGAACAAATCATGGGTTAATTAGTGTTGTAATGGTATAAGCACTAATTTTTATAGCATATGTCTATTATTATGTAAGCAGAATTCTAGGACGTCTTACAGCTATTCAGATCTTGGACTGGATGAAGGTCAGTTGGATCATGCAATACAGTGCTTTTGCTTTTGATATCCGATAACCAACATTTTCAACACTTTTCACACTGTCAGGGATTTGATGTGCTACACAGGCTATTGACAAGTTGCTGCACTTGAAATCCCTATTCTACATTTCTGTTAAGTATGAGTAGTGTTTTGGTGAGGGTTTTTTTCAGTACTGGAAAAATGTAGATATGGATCGAGCCCTACTCTCCCACTTTTTAGGAGACACTGGAATTTGAATTGTACAGGTCTTCCTTTCTCTAGTCAGAGGCCTATATAGTTATGGAGCTGCACCTGTGTTAATGTCTAGTGAGCTTATGCTGGAATCTCGGAAACTTCAGCCATGTACACCTGAGCAGTCTTCTGCTTCACAACCAACATATAACTTGTGGGATTTGTTTGCACCTGCTTATTTGTTTGCACTGGATTTAAAATTATGTGGTAAGATTAAGCAAGACTTGATGTTGAAAGTATCTACTGAAACAGGAGGAACTCTGGGTTTAAGCCACAGCTTCAGGAACTGTGGCTACTCCTGCTATGCTTTCCTGTTATTTCCAGCAACTGCATTGGGCAATTGCAGGGTAACTGAGTATGCCTTGAGGGTCAGATCTTCTCACAGCAATAGCATTTTTGTGGACTGCTGTCTTGAGATGAGTTCCTAATAACTATGCATAAGTAAGATTACTACCATCTTTGAGGATCCAGCTGAGGTCCAGGAGGGCTTCTTGCACTCTTAACTGTGCAGGACAAAGATAATGTAAAGATGGTTGTGTGGGCTAAAATCTGTGCTAGATCTGCGACATTAGTGTTTGACATTGATATCTGTGGGATTACGCACATGGTGAGTGACAGTAACAGTAGAATGGTGTTGGTAACGCATGTGGTGGTTAATATCTTTGTCCCTTCAGTATTGTTGCCTCTGCAGGACTAGCAGGAGTTGAAAGTGGTAATGCCTTGTTAGAGCCAATTGGGAGCAACATGCCTTGTCATACATAGTGAGCAGACTTGTGTGGGTAGCAACCATTTTTACATTTATTATGATCAACTAGGTTTTAAGGACCTTTGCATGTTTGCTGATTTTTAACATTGCTTGGCTTCACCTATACGGGTCTGTCAACTCAAGTTTTGTTGTGCTATAATTGGGGGATTCATCTGCCCCCACCAGGCATGAGT